TTTTTTTTTTTTTTTTTTTTTTTTTAAATCGCCTAAAAGTGCCAACCCCCAGCCAAAACCTCAGGCCGGGGCTTTCAAAGATGCAGTTTCCTGTTTTGAGAGGGGGGTGGGGATGTTAAAGTAGCGAGCCAGAGGTAAGGCAGCAGCTCTGCGCTCACACGCAGGGCTCCAGACGATGCTTTCTCGCACAATGCTGGCTGGGCTGAGTAAACCAGTGGGTAAGGAACATGACTGACCTGCTCCAGAGGAAAATCTGGATGGCTCGGAGACTGCAAGCTGCTGCCGGCGTGGGAGAGTTTCAGCCACAGGCCTCAGGGGAATTTGATGTGAAAGGTCTTGTGTGAAAGATTTCTGCGTGAGGTGCACGTATTAAACCCTAATGTCACTCCTCCAGCTGCTTAGATGCCTCCTTGTTGCCCAGTGGCTGTGAGAAGTTGTCCTCCACTCTCAGAAATGGTTGGGAATGTTCTGATGTGCAGGTTTAGCTTTCYTTGGCTTTGAAAAGCCCTCATGGAGAATAGTTGAGCAGAGATCAGTGACCTCATTCAGCAGGAAACACTCTGGGAAGGATGAGTTGTTATCAGAGCAATCTCCATAAAGACAAAAATCTCACAAGGGATGTTGCCAAGAGCCTCATTGCTCTTAGTCTGACTTGCTGGTGAAAATCTAGACTTTGCAGATGGTGGAATTTGTTTTTAAGAAGAAATTCTGGCTAAAAAAATGTGTTGCCTGTTTTGTTTCCTTTCTGCGACTGTAAAAAGGAAGATGGATTTTTTTGCCAGCGTATTCAGCTTCATGTGAGATCAAGCTGATTCGCTTGATTACAGTGGCCTGTTCTCCTAAACTAAATATTCTTTGCAAAAGCCATCTTGAAGGCAAAGCCAGCTTACAAGTATCAGATAGACAAGGGGCCAAGATTTTTATGCCAGGCAGAAGACAAACCTGGTTTGAAATTGGTGAAGATTTTTGGYGGCTATGGCATTTTTTCTGGAAACTACAGTAGAAAGAAGTGAAATCACCTGAGGGTTTGTTTGTTAAGACACATCGTTTTAATTCACTGTGGTTAGTTCTCTAGCAGTTACTAGCAGTTGTAAATAAGGCAGAAATTCTTCTTGAGGACAGATTTGAGGGGATTAAGCGGATGACTTGTTGCATGTAACCTGTAAAAATTTTCCTCTTGAGGAGGAGAGAGAGTTGCAAGAGCCAGGAGTGGATTTGGAAGATGCAAGGGGTCAGAGGACGACAATTTTAAATCGGTAGAATGAAAGCAGGTGTCTGCTAGCTTGATTAAAAACAAGAATGGTATGGGTGCTTGGAAAAAGGGAACAGATACCTTTTGGGAAAGAAGAAAACAAGTGGGAGAGAGTAACTGGAAAGGGAATTCTTTCCCTAAAGTTATCACATTTGTTGACATTTTTATCTTGTCCTAGCAAATCATACTGTTTCCTGAAGTCATGTGAATTGGGCAAGAGAAAACCTCTTGTGTTGGCAGGTCTCGGTGCTTTAAGAGGCTTTTCTTCAGGGAGATGCCAGACAAGAGATTTTCTTTTCAGCTTTTTATCTCAAAGTGATACAGCTGTGTCTAGGAAACTTATCTGGGCCACAGAAGTTTAAATGAGAGACTGAATTTACATGCATCCGGGTCAAAGAGGAGGTGGTGATCTTTCATTTTGAAGCTAATAGTTCTTTACAGTACACCCAGGGTAAAAGGAAATGTGGAGAGGAGATTTAAGTAGAAAAAAATCTCCATGCCTTTCTTTTAAGCTTTGGGGGGAAAAATTTTTCCTATAAATATTTTTTTTTTCCAAAATGTTTGGTTGGTTTCCAAAAGGGGCTAAAATTTTTATTTTTTCACTTCCCATTCCTGTTGCTTGAGCGTGCTGTCCATTGGTAGGAATCAAATTTTTGATGTCTCCTGAAAATCCTGCTCCTCRTTAATGCTGAAGATTCAGCCCCTGGTGTTCTGTGAGCAACTGTTTGCACTGATTCAAATTCTGATGTCCAAAATAAATTCAAGAGTCCTCTTTTAATTTTGTGCATAACTGTGGGGATTATACTTACATTTGTTGCCTTTTTCTACACCATATGATCTCTAATACTCTGAAAAACATTTTGTTTCAGATTTGTCCCTGACCTTCCCTTAAAAATGTCCAAGGTAAGAATGACATTCCCTATTCGAATGTAACAATGTAAAATTGATCTATCATTTTAAGTATTTATTTCCAAGCAGAAAATGTGTAATTGTTACGTTGTGTTTCATGACAGTTTGTTTCTAAAGAAATAAATTCTTAAATTAAGAGAATTCACTTCAAATAAGAGAAATAAGGGAATTCAGGTTTAGAAGCCACAGTATTATTCAGTAATATAAAATGCATATGAAAGTACCTTCCTATATGTAGTATAATCTTTGAGCTGTTTTTTATTATTTACTTTTTATCTATTTATTGATTTATTTTGCTAAGGGAATGGCACTGAGGCTCACTCTTTGTTACATTTCTGCACTGAAACTTCTGTTACTGCTTTCACTAGAAATAATTTGAGAGGAATATTCTTAGATTTAATTTCTTGTTAGCATCCTTATTCCTTTGCTAAATAGGGCTAACTGATCTGTTTAGCAAAATCCCCTTTAAAAATGTGTGTTAACTTAGTTGCTTAATACCATTACTGACATGGTGTGTAGTATTGAAGCAATCCTGGGTTCAGTGCGTTTGGTAAAACTTAATAGGTATATAATATTAATATAACAAAAATAATTAGTAAAATTTCCATGTCAGCTTATTGGCAGTGAAATGAATGACGGAGTTTGAGCAATGTATTTGAAAAGGCAAGCCAATAGATCTACAGATTTCTCTGCAGTATTGATAGTACTGSATTTCTGAAATGTTATTGTATCTTTTCTCCTTTCATAAGAGCTCTAATCATAACTTCCAGCAGATGTCCATCAGTTCAGGAGCAGTGTTAGGATGTGCTAAAAAGATTAGAAATAGTTCCTATTTCACTTGCATGTATCAACCCTATCCACTGACTTTTAAAAATTGTAATTGTGTATGAAAAGACTATTTAAAAAGTATGATAAGCAACTGTACTTTGTAGTTTAAGAAATATATATTTTGGTTTTATTTTGTTTAAAGTGTTCTGRACTGGATAGATGAATAAACAGCTTTTTTTTTAAACTTAAGGTGCATGCAATTGATCCTTTATTAAAGTTATTAAAACTGTTTCAACTTTCAAACCCTGTGGTTTAAATGATGGAACAATAATCCCATATCCCACCATTCCCTGATAAAGGGAAGCAGCTTTATCCATTTTTCTTTAAAAGTTCTAGTAAGAACAGTAAAGAGTCAAAGGGAGACTTCGGAGTGCTGAAAGATCCACTAAATTTCTCATTTTCCCCCACTTTTCTTTGATTATAGTTTATAGCATTTGAAATAACCACAAACAAGTGTGTCTTTATTCCTTATTTTTAGCAACAGCCTGCTCAGTTTACCAATCCAGAAACCCCTGGCTATGTTGGATTTGCTAACCTTCCCAATCAGGTTCATCGGAAGTCTGTGAAGAAGGGGTTTGAATTCACTCTTATGGTGGTTGGTAAGGAAACATTTTAGAGTCTTCCTCAAAATTAGTATCTACTTACAGGTAGTATAGAATTAAAGTGAATATTTTTTATACTCTTGCAACCCTTCAGATAGTATATGAAAGCTCTTCTGTACTGTAGCATTTAGCTTTCYTTTATAATATATTAAATTGTTCTCCGCATTGCAAACTATACTTGAATTTTGCAAGTGAAGCAAATAAATTTTATTTTGCTCTCCAGTGATCATTGTTTCCTCTTTTTCTGCCATACTGTCTTCATATATTCTATTTAAAACTTAGCTTACAACTTTTCTGAGTTTTAATACAACCTTTTTTTGCTGGCTTATTTTTGTTAGAAGAATAGTGTCAAGAAGACTGTTCTATTTAAACCATTTTTATATTTACCTAGTTCAAAAGATTCAGAATTCTAATCTCTCTACCTATTCTTTCCTCTTCTCTAAATATTATTGTGAAAAAAGTTTTTATTGCAAGCTTTTACTTTTTAAATTAGTATCAGTAATACTGTTAGAAGTAACAATTTAAATTGCAATTCTATTAGGTATTTCATTGAGAATCTTTGTGGATATTAGAAACAGAAATAAAGCATGTTTGCAGACATATTTGCTGTTCTTAGAGTGCTGTTCTTTTTGTGAATCAAATAGATTTCCAAATCAGAAGCAACTGCAACTTGGACGTGTTTTACGTTTTGCTTGGAATTCTACTTGGGAGCCATAACTTAGGAATTTTGGTGAATAAACTCTGTAATTCACACCTTAAAATAGACTTTTGTACCCTAGTGCAATGGTTTAAGTACAATAAGATTAATTTATCATCATCATAAATGAATTCCTTCTTTGTGTTATATTTGTCCGAGAGTTATGACTGTAAAAGAGCAAGTGAGGTGGGAAGATAAATGGTAGTAGGTATTTAAGTTACTTTTCTTTTTTGGTATACAATAATTATGAAGGAGCCTGTCCTCAAACCCATCATTAATTTTGCCTCAGAGCAGCCACAGCATTACTTGTGTTGTGTTTCTTGCAATTCTGTGTCCCTATTTTGGTCTTAGCAGAAATTTATGATAGTTGTTCACTGTCATTTGGGGTGAGGGTGAGGAAGGAAGTGGGAATGGGAACATGGAAGTTRAATTCAGTTATGCTACTTGCTAAATGTGTCTTTTCATTACTCAGAATCATTTTATTTTAGCTTTGTTGGATTTGCTTAACATCTTAGTAGATACCTTGGTGGAYAAAAACTAAGCATAAAGCCACACTTTATGTACACATTTCAGATTATAGTATCTATGTTAACTCTTTGGAGATTACTGTTCTACCATCCTAAAAAATCTGGGTGGTTCTGAAAAAGATGAGTTTTATCATTTGTAAATGAACTTAATTTCCCCAGATTTTTGAGACTAATTGCAAATAATGCCACATAAAACAGGTTTGGCTAAAAGACGGATAAAATTATATAGACCAGAAAGTTACCTCTTTTTGCTTATAAACTAGGAGTATCAGAGTGAGGGAAAGTAATAAATTTAACTCTGAGACAAGGTGGAGTTAACTTTAGAGTAGTTATATGCCAGTATCCTAAGGGATAAATGAAAACTACGGTGAGAGAACTTGGGGAAAAGTTCCAAAAACTGTTGAAAATTTTGAGCGATATTTTAAGATGCACTAGAAGAGGAAGGCAGTAGATTAAGCTAAAATAAACTATGCTTTAAAATGTTGATTATTTCAACAGTTTGGAATGTGAGTTCTTTCTGTTGCCATATGCATAGGGGTTTAAATCTTTTCTCTCATGGGAGATATTGTATAGCCTGCATTGAACTGTATTCCTTTTTTTAAGGGGACACATTTCTTATTTTCCAAGCGAGGAATATTTCTTTAAACACTGTCTATACTAACAGTCCTGACCTAATAATTTTTCTCTTCTTTTATTTTCCAAGCTATTGTTTGTCACAGCCTGTGGAGATATGAACTAGAGTTTCTAATAACTTAGCTGCTTGGTTGTGTTGTTCCAGAGAAATACAGTTGTGTTTGTTCAGCAGTATCATTTTTATGCTTGTTATTGAGCTATGATTTCATCTAAATAGTTGTTTTATTTCAGACTGAATAAACTGTGGCCAGTTCTTAGCATAACTGCTCTTTTCATTAGTCCTCGACAAGGAAAACTGGTTGGATTTAGATGTAATATTTACTCAAACAGAAAGTATGGAATGTGCCCCTGGTTAGAATCAAACTTCTTTGTATTTTGCTGAAGCGGCGTCATGGGACTGCTGAGTTAATCTGACTGCGCGTCTCTCCCATTGGTGACTTAATGGTCTTTTTTTAATCTGTGGACATTTATTCTGATGAATATCTCAGCTTTTAACAAATGAGTTGCTTTTTGGGCTATCCTGGTGGCTGGAAAGCCCTCGGACGGAAACATATTTATGATACGATGATACTAAGTATCATCAGTGAAAAGATTGCTCCCTGTGTATGCTCAGCAACAGCGTCATATTCCCCTTCCTTCCTCTTCTTGTTATGCCATATCACTGTAAAAAGTGGGCAAAAATTGCACTTTATGATGGCTGGCTATGTAAAAAGTTCAGCAACATCGTTTTCACTGTTCAAATCTATTATATAACCTTTATATGATCTAGCTTCTCACTGTATATGATCTGTGTTTTCTAGAGTGATAGCAGGAAAGCACATCTTTAAAAATCATGAGCTGTGGTGTAGGAAGCTTTAAGTCTAACTTTAAATTGATTGCAAGTCTGCTTTACTAGTAGCTTTAATTACAAATCCTCATTGAAAGCTCTGAGAAAGTGTACTGTACACCTGAAAAGTGTATGTTGTTATTCAGCCTTTTCATGTCAACTTTTGCTGCTAATACGAAATAGCAATCTTTAGCCCTAAGTTGAAAGATTTATTTATATTTAACATGAAAAAATAAGGTCAGACGAATACAATTGAGATTAATAGGTAATTAATAAGCATTTGAATATTAATTGCCTATTAATCTCAGTTGTATTCAGATTATATCATCTGGCCTTACTGAGCTGGTTATTTACAGATCAATTATTCAGTTAGTGATGTTGTCTTCATATTGAATCACAGGTGAATCTGGGTTGGGAAAATCCACATTAATAAACAGCCTGTTCTTGACGGATCTCTACCCAGAGAGGATTATCCCAGGAGCAGCTGGTAACACACTTTAATTTCTTAGTTCTAACTGTTTTTTTTTTTTTTTTTTTTTTTTTCCTGGAGTTCAGTGCTTTCATTTTTGTGTTTTAGCTACAACCCATTGTGATTCTAGATATAATAATTTCTAGATATAATATTTTTTTCTTTTCCCGTCCCTTGTTCCTGTTTATTAACTGAAGCATGCCATCATCTGACAATAGAAAGTATCAGGAGAAAATAGAGGGTGATGGTACTTTTTTTTCCCCTCTTGACTAGTTGCTGAAAGATTTATTTTAGTAATTGATCATATTAGCTGACAATTACTTAACCCTTTTAACATTATATGTTCTTTTAAAAAAACCTTACTTTAAAATTTAGTATTGTTCCCTAGTTTACTGATTACCTACATTTTTTTCATAGTCCTTTTTGCCTCAGTCTCTGTATTTAGATTTTTTCAAAAAATGTGAAATTGAAATCAAGCAAAACCTTTCAAAAGAGCTCAGTTGCTGTGTCTTGCCCTGATATTATCATGACTTAGAGATTATCTGTGGAAAAAATGCTCATTACACAATTGCAGCTTTCACTGAATCTTCACTTAATCTTTTAAAATTTTGTCTCAGAATGATCTATTTTTATAAAGTCCATTCTGTAAGATCAAGTTTCTTGTCTTTTAGAAAAGATTGAACGTACTGTGCAGATCGAAGCCTCAACAGTTGAAATAGAAGAGAGAGGCGTGAAACTGCGTCTGACAGTTGTAGATACACCAGGATATGGTGATGCTATCAATTGTCGAGATTGGTATGTACATGGAGTATATGTATTGATCTATATATAGTGTCATTCATTTTGTATCCCTCTCTTGGAGGGGATGGGGGTAATAATAAGTAATTGAAGTGGGACTATGTTAATAATGATACAAAACCCATAGGCAGCTCAAGGGGCCGCAGTGGCTCTTTTGATACTTCTTTTCAGTGATTATACTGTCATAATTATCTTCTTTTGTGTGTATTTTTGGTTATGTGATGAATCTGATGTTTTATGTCAGAGAAATGATTAGCTTTTATTATTTTGAGGAAGCTTGCTTTTTAGTTGCTTCAAATTTAAAAATGTTCTAAATTGTAGGTTTACCGCATTAGAAATAGTCATCAGTAACTCCCCCCAAAAAACTTTCCGAATTTCAGAGGTTAATTAAGGGGAAAAAAACAGAGCAACACAACATTTATTCCAATTAAGTGACCAATGTCACTGACTTTGCTTTTATAGTTAGAAAGCAATGAAACTGCTGAGGACACAAGAACTTCAACAATACTCCAAAAAGTAGTTTCTCTAGTGCTTGGCAGTCTTTGATGCATGTACAAATCCGTCTTTAGATCCTACCCACATGGGAATCGGAAGGAATGTCATATTTATTTATACCAATGTCTGGATATATTTTTCTATGCAAGAAATATATACTTTTCTGTGCAATCTATGCAAGATTTCTATATGTCTATGCAAGCAATATTTATCCTTGTTGAATGTATAGGAGAGTAAATATTCTGCCAGACTGATGCCTAAAATAGTGTGGTGTAGACAGATGCAACCTAAAGCAATAATGATGCAGGATTCTGGTGTTGCTGTAGCAGGATTCTGGTGTTGCAGCTGCTGGCAGGGKTAGTTGTTGCATTGTACACCATAATTTGGTGTTTTCCATTGATTTGGAACAAAAAGTTTAGATTGACCATGCATAATTGATTCTATTAAAAAAGGTAAGTAGWGAACCAAGAGAATTATGCTTCAAAAGTTAAAAATGTATTTATTTACATGGTATGTTTRTATACATGTGCATTTATATGCAGTTTATTTACAGTGACAGTTGTTTGGATTTAATTAACATGCRAAGACATGTCTTTAATTTACTGGTGTAAGGCTATTAATCTTCTCCAGGATGTGTGATGTTTTAATATTACCTTAGAACTCTAAAATTGTTGAGTGATAAATGATTTCCTGAATATTTTTTCCTATCTTTTTTTTTCTTTTTCAAGTTTTAAGACCATCATCTCCTATATTGATGAGCAGTTTGAGCGCTATCTTCATGATGAGAGTGGTTTGAACAGAAGACATATCATAGATAACCGTGTTCACTGCTGCTTCTATTTCATTTCGCCATTTGGGCATGGGTATATGATTTTATTTTTGAAGTGATTTTACTTCAGAGTCTTGGTTTTGTGCCTATTGACTTAATTTTTTAGAATCAGATTGCCATTAGTTAAATATTAGTGCCATTGGAAGTAACGAATATGTCCTTTCCCTCTGCGTTAAGGAGAAGATACAAGGCTCTGCACTCATCTAATATGGATACAAATACCTGAGATTAATACTTTGTAATCCAGGGAGTTTTCTCTTTTTTGAGRTATTGTTTATGTTGGTGTGAAAATGCCTGTCATTTTGATTTAAAATCAACKTTTTTCCTCTTTTAATTTTAGTCTTAAACCTTTGGATGTTGAATTTATGAAGGCCATACACAACAAAGTTAATATTGTACCAGTGATTGCAAAAGCTGATACACTTTCTCTGAAGGAGCGAGAGAGGCTAAAGAAAAGGGTAATTTTTTTTTTTTTTTTCCAAACTTGGAGAAAAATGTTGGGCTTGAGTTATATCAGCATGATTTCAGAGAGAGGCATTCAATTTCACTCCATCCTATCCAAGGAAAATAGGATTTTTTGTACACAGGGTGACATCACTTAAAATCAAGAAAACGTTTGCAGTTTGCTATCTTGTGAGCTCTTTTGTTATGTGTTTAACTGAGAAATTGCCCTTTTAAGTGTTGCCTGTGAAATGGGAAATTGACTACATTCAAGATTACGTTATAAATGGATTTTAAAGGTTTTCAAATATTTAAACGCGTTTAAATATATTTGCTGATGGTAACTGCCCCCTTGCCAGTGTGATCCATCCCAAAGCAGCAGTAATGTTATCTGCATGCATTATTCCCAATCAGAATTCTGATATTTGAAAAATAAGATTTTCAGGGTTTTTAGAAGTATTTTTGTATATCCCTCTCTTTGCTCGTGCATGGCAATCTGTCTTCCTTGGCTTGGCTGCCTTAACAGTTTCAGGCCTTGATATTGAATTGGTGAGAGGGTCAATCTTAGAAAAATGCTTGAGATTTAATTTGCTGCAGACCTCAGCTGATGCAGACCTCGCTGTTATATTTAAAGCTATTTTTTTAGTTATTTTGAAAATCCTTATTTTCTTTATTTTTTATTGCAATTTGGCTAAGTTAGGTGTACTTTACTTTGAAACAGTTCTGCTAGAGTTCTGCAGAAATAGATTTTTTTTCTAAAAGCAACATTTGGATTTCTGGCAACTGGATTTCTGCTGCAGATACCACTTCAAAACTAGCAGTCAGGAATGTGGGGGCGAGGGGGAAAACTTAGTGGTATTTGCTGCTCTGTTTTTAAGTTCTTCCCTCGCCACCATCACCCTCATATAATAGTTTAGTAGCAAGAACAGGAGTTTTAGACTTTGAATTCAAAGCAATTGTTAATTTTTTGTTACCACTTTTCAATTAAAAAGATGCAAAATGCAAAAAAAAAAAAAAAGGCAGTACAGCTTTTTTTGTGTGTAATTCATATAGGATAGTGGGGTTTGAGTTCTTGATTGGTTGCCAGGARTGTCCTTTCATTGGAATGCTACTGCAATAGGCATGTTTAGGAAGTTTTAAAATGGTTAGATATTTTTTTTCCTATTAGTTGAGTCTGTCTACTGATTGCCTGCAGTAAGCTGACTTCAGAACTGCTCCCATTTAAAGTTAGCTCATGCAAGATTCCTCCTTGGCTGTCTGCTGCTACAGAATATCAAAAGTCAAATTAATTACTGAGCAGTTTTAGGAACAGCTAAAATTGTCAGAAAAAAAGAATGCTCATCCCCTAAAATAAAGTTTCTCTCGTAATTTACAACTTGATTGAGGAGTGAACTGTACGATCTCAGTTTGAACTGAGATGCAAAGGAGCTGAGGGAAACAGAAGGCAAAATGCATTTGTATATCAAAAAAAAAAAAAGAAATAAAAAAGAAGACTGACTGCTTGAAGTTGGAGACTTCCATGATGGAAATAAATTTGTAAATTGTAAATAAATTTGTAAAAAAAGATCTTTATATCAGAAAGTTAGAACTTCTGCCATTATTTTTTTACTCCTTTATCCATGCTCAGAAAAGGAAACTATTTTCTCAAGTAAAACTGTTGTGCAGGAGTAATCCCTGAGAAAGGAGATAGAGCTTCAGCTTTTACAGTCGCAGCTGATGTGAAACAGGAGCAATTGAGAAAGCAGAAGTGCTGTACTGTTTAATAGCTTTGTTTAAAATTAAACCAGTGATAGATGTAATTTGGGTATTRTAAGATAGCAGAGCCTGAACAATGTAACGCTCTACTGCACATCTTGTTTCCTGTGCAGTAATTGGTGTTACTGAGGAGATACTCTCTTGAGGCACATAATGTTAACGTGCACTATTGTCTGCCTGAGAGTCTATGGGAAGTGGTTGTTAAATATCATCATGGAATATGGAATAGTACTTTGCTAGCAGTTTGGATCAGTCAATTCTCAAGAGATAGTTTGCACATAATAGATTAACTACTATTACCATAAAACTTAATACATGTGTAAAGACAGAGTYGTTTATATCTCCATTTTTTGCTGCTTATATACTTTTAAATCTTAGATTCTGGATGAAATTGAAGAGCATGGCATCAAGATTTATCACCTGCCTGATGCTGAATCAGATGAGGATGAAGATTTTAAAGAGCAGACCAGACTCCTGAAGGTAAAACCAGATGCATAGGCTACATACATAGAGAAGACAAAAATAGCTTATTATATCTTTCAGACTGCTCACCTGTCTTTAAGCTGCATGCTCTGTGTCTCCGAGGCCACTGTAATTCTGTGTCTGGGCTTCGGTATCAAGAAGATGGTGATAAAAATGATTTTTTTTCTCTAAAGTATTTTGACAGCATCAAATTATCATTACAGACTTCTTACTGTAAGTGCTGAGCAAAACAAGTGTCATGCACGGAGTTCTTGTTGTTATAGCTTATACCTAGTAATTTTGGAATTTTGCTTTCAGGCCAGTATCCCGTTTTGTGTAGTGGGATCCAACCAATTGATTGAAGCCAAAGGTAAAAAAGTTAGAGGTCGCCTCTACCCGTGGGGTGTAGTTGAAGTGGAGAACCCAGAACACAATGACTTCTTGAAGCTGAGGACCATGTTAATGTAAGTTAGAAAGTTCCAATGAGGTATTTTTKGGGGAAAAAAAAAGGAACGACTGTGGAGGTAGAATTGGTCTTGGGGGGTCGGGACAGTTCGTGGAATTTCTGTGTGTGGAGACATTTGGAATTGTCTGGAGAAGGCCTTGAGCAATCCGATCAAGTTGGCCCTGTCTTGAGCAGGGATTGGGCATGATAGGCTCTAGAGGTCCTTTCCAATAGGAATTATTCACCGATTCCATGAAAACAATCATCTGTCTAGTCCCTTTTTTGCATGCAGTGTAGTACAGCTATTCCGAGTCTCAGAAACATAAGCTAGATGGAGTTATAGCTGCTGCTTGTTAAAAATACCTGAGCTTATGTATCTGAAAAAAACCACCCTCACACCATGCTTTCCCACTCGGCTTCCCCTACTCAAAGGCTTTACCTAGAGGACAGCTTATGTCTCAGGATTTAACTTAGGTTAGTTCTCAAATTAGTCAACGGGGTGCAGACACTGAGCACGCTTATGGCTTTTGTATTGTCATGTTTATTTTGTCAACCTGCAAATCTTTTTCCTGCTCAGTGCTGTGTTCCTGCTATGCAATGAGTACTTGCCCGTAAATYAAAATCATCTGGGTTGTATCAGTGCAGCTTCCTCAGCTGAAGAAGACCTAATGGGACAACTGCATTAAAATATTACTGTATATGTGGCTAAAGTTCTCAGGTGTGTGCTGTGTTTAAAAGAGAGTTTTCTTCCTGCAGAACTCATATGCAAGATCTTCAGGAGGTGACCCAAGACCTTCACTATGAGAACTTTCGCTCTGAGAGGCTCAAGCGAGGCGGCAGGTTGCCATCTCATGCTTATGTGCAGTTTTACCCTCCTCTCACCTTAGGTTTTCGGGTTTTCTCTMTTTCTGTGATCTTTTCCTTGCTAGGAATTGATAAAATCTTTAGCACTAGTTCCAGACAACACCAAGGTCAGTTGATCAACTTGTGCCTAGGAGTTCAGTATGAGGAAAAACTAGTAAGAAAAAATGAAGAAATAGCTGTGAAATTAAAAGAGTATATTTAGGTCTCTGCCTTGCTTAGCGCTTTAACACGCTTGGATTGGAATGTTTAAGGTAAATAAGTAGAGCAGATGTAGCTAATTTTAGAAGTCATTTCACATACACRCAAGTTAAAAATCAGTCCTAACACATTAAAAACTTTCTTTCCAGTCTTGCCTGGACTGTGTCTTTAAAAAGAGAAACTTATGCCCAGCTGCAGTGCTTTATTCGAGATGGTGTAAATAACTAATTATCTCTGGAGACCAGGCATAGTGTAACACCCTTCAAAACTATTTTGGGCTGTGATGAATAGGGCAGGTCTGTCTTGGTAAGAGAGGCCGGCAGAGCCCCCCATTTTGGGCTAAAATAACAGAGTTTGTAAAGCTGATTTCAATTCTTGCTGAAAACTGAGTGTTCTGTGGTTTAGATTTTTCAGTTGCTTCTCTTATTTCAACCACTAGAGGGTTTCATAATTGCACATTTTGATGTACTTTGGAAAGCCTTATTCAGCCTGAAACTTCCCTTGTTGACACAAGTTTTATCGTACACAGTCAATTTTGAGGATAAAGAGTTTTTATCTGCTTGTAGCTTGGCCTAGAAGTTCAGTTCTCGCTTCAGGCAAGAAGACTTTTTTTTCAGTCGTCTTAAGTTCAAGTTACAAAAAAGATCTTTGCCAAGTTATGATGTTTGTAATCCAGGTATGTATGGAGGCCTTAGATATAATGTCACCTCAGGCTGTGCAGAGTTCAAATAATACCTGTTTCAGAGGACTTAAAGCAGCCTCACCCAAGGATCAGGGCAGGAAATTGCTATTGAGTCGAGGCATCTTTGTGAAGCTAAAACATGTTTTTTTCTATCTAATTTAGTTAAATTGGATGCACATCTTTGTTTTTGCATTTCTGAGGTGCTATTGGGATGTAGATGCGTTTATTGTATGCAAGGATAGTTAATAGGAATTGTTTCAAACTTGTACCTATCCCAGCTGTTGGTAATCRGGGCTTGTTGGTTGTATTCACTGGCCTTCATAGAAGCTTTCAGGCATAGATGGTTTTTTCTTTTGACCACTTATTTCTCTGTTAACCTTTTAGCAAACATCCGTTTATTTGGTTTGTGCTTTTGATAGCACTTTTATGGTTAGATTGATTAGAGGATTTTTTTCTCACTGCAACATATGATAGGAGAAATGTAATAGCAGGGAATACAGCACCTCCAAATGCTTTCTAGTTCAGTTTCTCAAAATAAAACTGCCTGTTCTCCGTAAGCAATAGTTTGCTGCAATGTTGGCTGACAGCATTTGCTTAATTTTAACGAGCATAATCAATGTTTRTAGTACAATTGTGTATGTTACACAAAACAAATCTTTTGGAATTACTGAAGTTCAGTAGAAAAATAATCAACATTCCAACTGTTAAGTGGAAAAGTGGGTAAAAGGCTCCTCCAAGGAGAAGATGTGTACAGTGATTTGTTGCTTGTACACATGCATGTGGAAGTTTTCTTATCTTATCAAAAGATAAGCGGGCTAATTTATTTAAGGATTAGCATTTTAGCTGAGTACTAAACAAAGGGTTAAGAGCTTGCCATCTTTTTTGTCTTTAGCTGTTTAAATAACCTGTCTTGCTCTAAAAGTTTCCATAAGTAATGCGTGCCTTTTATAGACGCTTGATAGCCAGCATGTGCTTCGTAAAGTCAGGGGCGAGGTAGAACTAGAATGAAAGGAAGGTTCTGCCTGGGGGTAGCTAGTCACAGTTTCTTAAAGCACTAAGTACTTGATATGTTGCTTCCATATTTTTGTTCCTATCTTGTCCAGGATTATCCTGGGTGTACATGTTGTTTTAGTTGTATTGGTTTAGTTCAGCAATGAAAAAAAGAAGAATTGAGTTGAGCGTTTGTAGTACTTCTGAATTTGATATACCCATGTGGTACTCAAATTGCGATCAGTTAAGGTAATGTTATATTTAACTGCTCTGCTTGAATACTGACCAGAAATAATTTTCATTCATACCTCTGTAGGAAGATCTGGCATGTTCTAAACTCAAAGAAGCCTTTCTGAATCTTATATTTCTTCTAGGCTTAAATTGCTGGAAGACTGAGGGATAAATTAATGTTTTGCTTGGGGGATGGGGAGGGGGAAGAAGGGAAGAAAAGAACAAATCTAATAATCTAARAAAATATATATATATTTTGGAGGAAAATGCTTTAATACATTTTCCGTGTATTATGTATTCACAAAAAAGAGGAATGTCTATTCTTTTAGATCTTTTTTTGTCAAAGCATTCAATAGAAATGAAAAATCCAGCATGTATGCATATTGTTAAACAATATTTGTCTTATCTTAGGAAAGTAGAAGATGAAGAAGTAAACAAAGACCAGATTCTACTTGAAAAAGAAGCTGAAGTAAGATGGCCAAGTTGTGGTTGCGGGAATTTTATTCTTCTTTTATTATTTTTAGGCCAAATGATTTACATAATCTTGCTAATTTTAAAGGGGAAAGACAGTAGAATTTATTAATATAAAATTATGYAAGATGAGATAACAAAACAGCATGGAAAGAGATGTGGAAGAATCTCAGAATATTAATATACTGGAACAAATGAAATCTGATTCCATGAAGTGAAATCCATCAACGGATATAATGTACATTACACAGGGAGAGAGAGCTACCCTCATATATGGGGAAAAAAGCACTCTAGTTAATATTTGCAGATGAGGGAAAAGTCAGTTTAGCACAACAGCAATGGAGAACACAATGTTAGGAATTCTCAGAAATAATGGGGAAAAAAGGAAATTCTTACTCTGCTGTTGTGACAAATGCATAATGCATAGCTCAAACACTATATTTTTGGTCCTCTTCACTCAAAAGAAGTATAGCTGAGGCTAGAAAAAGTGCAATGAGAAGTGAAGAGTTAACAGAGAGGCTGAACTGGATGGAGAACTGAAGCAGCTTCTGTTTAAGATTAGGCTAATATTCTTGGGAAGTAGATGACAGAAGGCAAGGTTGTAGTAAGGAGCTTGTATAACCATGCACGGCAAGATGGCAAATACAAAAAAGCAGRTCACATCTAACAGTTAAACAAAAAAGGTACTTTCAACACAGCCTGTAAGTTGTAGAACTCGATGGCATGGAATTTTTGTGTTCCAGAAGGATAGATGAGCTCGAAACTRCTGAGACGTAGTTATTAAGAAAGTAAAACTCGCCAGTGCTTGCTAAACCCAAATTTGACATATTTTGGTTTGGAAAATTCCAAAGACAAATATTTCTAGAAATTGAGAGTATGCACATAACTTTTTGTTGTTGTTTAAATGCAACAAAAAAAGCCTATGCTTTTTGAAATGCAGGTGCGTGAAAGCAACTAAAACCATTTCCGTAGTGAGGATGACTCCATCTGTCAGGTGGTTTGCTACTATAAAAGAATATCTAAGTGTTGCTCGTGTAACACGGCTGAACTAATCTCAGCAGCTGAGTTAGATGATTACCCTGTACTTAAAAATTCCGGGGCTCTAAGGTTAAACTTGTAGAACTCTATTTTTAATAATGCTTGTGTCTCCTTGGGTGATTTGCCTGCAATACTTGTTTCCACTTAGTCATGGTTAGCAAGAGAGTCAAGATATAATCCTGAGAACTTCTGACGAATTTCTGTATTTTTGACGAATACAGGTGCAACTGAAGGGCCATAAACACAGTCTATAATGTCCTTTTCTTCTGACTGGCCTTAGTAATGATGTCTTGTTCAGTACTTCAACACCACGAGTATTACAAATTTAACTTCAGAGAAAGCCAGAACTTCCATTTAGGGATGCTTAAAATATATTGCAGTAATAAAACCTGTTTATTTTGGTCGGTAAATTTCCAACCTAATCCAAATCCAATCCTAATCCAATCTAATGCAAATGTGTGCACCTTCTTTCATATTAGTAATTAATAATATGGTGGCAGTGAAAAGTCATACTCTGAGGTAGGTTTCTAAAGGATTTTTCTATGCCGTCTTTCCAGCTTCGTCGCATGCAGGAGATGATTGCAAGAATGCAGGCACAAATGCAGATGCAGATGCAAAGCGGCGAAGGAGACAGCAATGCTGTTCATGGACACCATGTATAAAGTCTTTGGTAAGGCGTTCAAACAGCTCTCTTCAGGATTTTTCTTAGTAATTCATTAGCGTGATTGGTATTATGAAGTTTTGGAAAAACATTTACAGAATCAGTCTGCGTATAGTTTGGTYCTTGTGTTAGTTTTGAATGTTTAACTAGTGTTTGTGAAGTGAAATGACTTGAAGCCTAACCAAATATTCGTGTGCAAYATATATCTTCAGGTTTCCAGAAAGTCTGTGATGTGGATGTTGGCAAGAACTATGGAAGGAGTTTTTAAAATTGTGTAAACGAGTGATTCTTACATTCACGATGAAGTCATTGTTTCACTCTGAGCACTAATACATATACAAGTTTTCATTTTTTTTGAGTGTATGAGTAAGAAGATACTTGATTTGTTTTTTTTTTTCTGTCTCCTTCTGCAGGTTACTTTATACTTACTTTTCTGAAGTGAACCTTTGGAAGTTGAATTATGATGGTGTGCCAGGAAGAATGSCTTTTGCTCAACATGTGAATTGGAGTTTACTTTAAATGTGGAAATGYATTGTGGTAACTTTTGTGATAAGTCTTTTATAACAAGTAGTAAGTCAGTATTTTATATATTACACACATATCACTTTGGTTCTGTTTAGTAATTCTTATATTGAGCTTATTTTCATTTTCTTGTTGAATTGGGGTACAAACTAGACCCTGAAACTTTTCTAGCTTGACATTAGTTGATTTTTCTTTTTACTATTTTTTTTAATATGGCATATTACCCCCTATTTTTAACTTTTTATTATACTTAGAAATAAACAGCTGTCAGTGATGTCTTGGCCAGTGTYTTAATAGTCACTCAATTAGGAAGTCTTGCAAGGCTAGTCTTAACTTTGTAGATTTTGTATCTGTGAAATCCTCCGCCGTTTTTCATTCCTGCTCAGTGCAGCAGGCAATTTTCTTGCCTCCTGCAATTATGAAATTAAAATTTGGGCATGCCTTGTGTCTTAACAAGAAGAGGAAATGCCTCCTTGAGGGGCATCCTATGTTCTATAYGGCAGGCATTATTTCCTTCAGCTTTAACCTTGAGGGATGTATTATTACCTCCTTGCATGCCTGTGATTATTTTTTTTTTTTAACTGCAAATACTTCTTAGGAATTTCTTGTAGATCAATATAAATGAGTACTACTATTTTCTGGCGTTGTTGTAGCAAAGCAAACTAGAACAGTATTGATATTAAGTGAAGTAAACCCTAAAGAACAGTTKTCTATGCAAAGGTGCTTCCCATATGTGAAAGCACAATAAGTTATATAATTCTTACTGAACTTTCATACTCCTTTTTAGGGCATTGCAAACAGTTAACTTTAGTATAAAATACGTGCTAGCACATGTCTCTTCAAGTGAGCTGTGCCTGATAAGATTGATGCAAATTGTATTTTAAGGTCCTGCTCCAAGATGGAGTTAGCAGTATTGTGAAGCCACTCGGATATGTTACAGGCTTCTTTTAAGGTCAAGGTCACTTTTCTTAATGATAATAGTAACATAAGATTTTTTTTTTTTAACCTTGGCTAGAGCTTTTTCAACATAGCATGGTTCATGTTGTAGCACATAATGACAACTCTCATGTACAGCTACATACATGGTAACCAGTAAGGCAGGCAATAAAACACCCTGCTTGGCTTCTGATAATTCAGCTATCAGATTCCTAATGTGCTCCGATATACAAAATGTTATCGGAACAGCTTATAAATAAATAGAGTTGCAACTTTTTTCTCTTTCTARAGCTCAGGTGACTTTTATGAAAAATAAATAAAATTTTTAATATTCCTTTGGAAAAAGGAACAGGGCTTCTACAGCTAAATATATATTTTCAGTGGTACTTAAATGGCTAGATTAAATATCAGCTTGCTTAGTAATTGAAACTTTTATCTTCCTGAAACTGCTGTTTATTTTTTTTTATATTTGAATCTTGAAAAATATGAAGTAAAATCCTCCATTGCAGGCTTTGCTAGGAAGCTCCAGTGCTCTTCTCAAAAGCAGTTATCCTCAGAGTTTTGCACATTACTCAGTCTTCCCTCACTGCAACAAAAGTGAAAATGAGAACCTTTTTATATTTTTAGATACATAGAAGTATTAAGTCCTCTTTCATCAAATAAGTGCTTATAAAACCTATTTAGAAATGCATGTGCTTTTCCATATTTTTGTCTTGCCTTTCCTTTAAGAAGAAAATAGGAAGAATTGTCATAAAATAACATTCCACAGCATCTTACATCTAAGTCTTTTGATGAATTTTGTGAATCAGTTGTCAGAAAGTTACTGAAAAGTTACTTACTATAAACTTAAATCGTTAAGTATTTTGAGGTCCTGTGCTGTCCTTCAGTTGCACGAGCTCCGATTTAGCTTTGCCCCTGCAGCATTCATGTACTTTGAAGCCATTTGTCTGACTCCCTCTTAAATATTCAGGATGTAGCATGCTCCAGGTGCTGTTCTCTTTGCTAAGGAGAAAAACTCCACGACRTTTCTGGCTTTACATACAAGGTCAGTCCAGTATTGCAAGCTGCAGCAGTACTAGGAACCAGTACTTGAAGGACTRTGAAATCTCAAGTAAATGCCAAGGGGCTGTGCATGTCACCCACTGTGGTGTTCCTCTCGATGCTCCATGTCTTTTCTGCTTACGCTAACAAGGGAACAAAGGCAGGTTGTTCATGTGTTTAGTGCTGTGTTATACTTCGGTCACTACCTGTGGAATTGTTTTAGGCAACGTTGTCTTCTTTGAAATAGTATGTACCTATTAAAATAATCCATCATGATAAAGTACTATGGCTGATTCTTATGAAAATTCCTTTTGATTTACAAATTCTGGCAGGAGAAATCTTTCTGTACGGTTTTCTTTCATAGGATAAAGCAAGTTTATGGCTAAGTGAAGTATTTAGGATGGCTACTTCTTCCCAAGTCTTCGGGGAAATCGTTTATGGTGCCTGACATCTCTACAGATCTTTTYCCCCTTCCCCTTTCTTATGATGCTCTTGCAAAGAAAACTGGTTCATTCGGTGGGCTTCCAAAAATGATACCTCCTTTATCAGATCATTTTTCACATAAACTCAATTACYGATTGCAGTAATTAAGCCAAAAGGTAGATGATGTTTGGTGGCTGCCTGAGATGACCACTGTTCTTTTCCTTTTAGGAGTCAGAAAGCTTTCAGATTTGTAGAGCTTTTTATTTGATAGCTAGAATTACTCTTCTTAATATAAAAATTTTACAGTTGTTATTTTTTAGGTACTTCCACTTGCCAAAAGTATAATAAAAGTGCTACCTGTCCCCCCCATATGAATCCTTGTTGTAATCCACGTTAGCAATATTAGTTAGTTTGTGGTCATATGTTCTGAATGTAAAGGAAATAATTAGATTTGTGAGAGGAGGATGTGTTGGTGAAATGTAACTTTTAAATATTGCACATTCCAAGGTTATTGGTACAGTGTGTTTCCCTATGGGTATTCGCACGGTTCCCAAATTTCTCCCTAGAGGAATACTGCTTTTTCAGCAGCCCTCACAAAATTTTTGTGTCTCTTAATTGTGTTGTTAGTATCAAATGCAGCTTTTTGTGGGTGATGCTTTGAGTTTAAAAGGTCAACATGTTCTCCAGTGAACGCTGCCTAATTCTGGAGGTGTCCAAAGGGTCTGTGATCTTTGTCCCAGACATTCCAAGATAATTTAGGACTTACAACTTCTTATGAAGCTACTTCAGCCAGCCCAGGGTAGTTACAGATAAACAGCATGAGGCTGTGTCCTTGTTCATGGATTCCTGAGGTAATCTTAAACACCAGAGCATTTTATAGCACTYGTTGAAATGTGCCACTTTCTTATGGGCCTTGGAAAGCTGGAAAACTCCCTGTGGATTGCTGTGTTGTTGCTGGGAGGCACACATTATGTGGTCATGTCATCCTACACAAGGCATGAGACTTCTGCGTGCTGTGAATGTTCATATATGTCTTTAAAGTGTGCTTGTTTTACTCACTTCAAATGTTTAGGGTAGATTCATCTTTAGTCTGCAGTGAGGAAGAGCAATAAGAAGGCATCCTTGAATATMTTGGATGTATTTTTTGAGAGAAGACTGTTTTTTCTGTATCCTGATTATGTCTCCAGTTTTCAGAATGGCATCCATTTGATCAAATATAGAAGATTGTTTCATGGATTTCAAATCCAATTTGGAAAAGACTAATGAGAAAGAGTTACCCTAAAAGTTGCACAATAAAATCACTCTTGGAAAATGTATTACAAAAAATCTCCCAGGCTTTCTTACCAGGTATGCTGAATGCTAAAACACAACAGGCAAGTCTTGCTTTTTTTCTTTTACTCACCCATAAAGAAGTGTAAGGATGAATACACCTGCTATAAGGAAGTAAATTGTGGTGAGATTGGGGTGAGCTGAAACGTTAATCCAAGACCAGTCATATATGTTTCTGTATTGGACATCTAGAACCAAAGAACAGAGAGAACATCTTAAACTGGAACTGGAGTGACCGTCCTACAACCCAGGTTTCATTTGTGGATGTTTCACTCTTCATGTTYATTTTGAACAAAACTGCTTCTTTCCAGCATTCCCTGATTTTCAGATTGCGAGGCCTTTTGGCCAAGCAACTGTTTCTCATTGTATCTTGTAGAATTGCGACTGTGGTCTTGGTAGTGTCTGGGCAGCCCCAGCCGTAATTAAAATTTGAATTGGCTGTAAAATGTATTAATTTTATGCACATAAAGAAGAATGATAACTCCCTGACAACTGAAACAACGTTGGAAAACTGAGCTGTACACCCCCTCACAAAAGTGAGTAACTTACTGCAAGCTTTCTATTGAGGTGTGTGTGGATTAAAGCCAATATTTTCCTCAAATCTTTTTATTAGGTACCCATTGAGTGAGAAGAAAAAGGAAGATTAGGACTGTTAAAGATACTAAACGATACTATTTTAGTATAAACGTTATTAAAATCACTACCAGCAAAATAAATCTAGCCACTCACATTGAAGTGTTTCTTGGTTTACCGTTGGAAGTGCTGTTTGTACACTGAATTTGTGGGCAGCCCGTTGACATACATTTAGGTTTTTTTAATCGAATGAGTTTCTCATCCTCGTTCTTCCCTTATTTCATCCGTACCTTCCGGGTAATATTTTTTTCTGGGTTCCTCTGTTCTGGTTAAAATGACAGGGGGTTGTTTACAGGAGTGATTCCGTTTTCTGAGCATCTGCACAGTGTCTGGAGGATTTTCCCTGGCCGTCTTRCTCTTCAGCAAGGAATGAGGAAGGAGATAACGCAGAGCCTCTTGTGTTCCTGTTTCAGGGCATTCTCAGTGTTAGGATGGCTGGGCCAGGTTGACATCGCTTGGCTCCTAAGCTTTCCATTGAGTTGTCACCTGTGGATAAATTAGTCATCCCTCTCTCGCCATAAACACTCTGATTTCCTCAGAGACAGGTAGAGAAGCGACTGAGAAGAAAAGCTGTCCTGTGATGTTAGAAGACAAGAATGTCTGGCATTTCATTAACAACCAACCAGAGAGGACTGKATTTCCCCCCTCTCGTTAGGATGCACGCGCACTGTTTACCCTCCTGGGCAGCAATCTCAAAAGGCCTGGTGCAAAAAGAGCTTTATCTTCCATTAGAGCTGGAAAATAGTAGGATATCTTCACAGGAGTCTGAAGGAAATGAAGTTCAGGCTCGGGAACTATAGCTTTGGTGTCAGGTGAATCACTCTATTAACAACCAAGCTCTTGCCATGAGCGGACTCCCCAGCTGCTTATTTTGCACCACGTAGGATTTGTGCTGTGCTCAACCCATCGTACGGGACTTGCTTCCTAACTGCCTAGCATGGAAGTGCCTGGAAGAAAATCACTTTGTCCTTGTTTCATTTGCATTTAGAGGCATTCTGGCTAGTGCATCTTGCTTCTCTTTCCAGAAGGAGGAATGCCATCAGAATATTAACTCTGTGTGTGTGTGTGTGTGTGTATATGGTCTGCAGACTTCCATTCTAGACTGTTTTATTAAAAAAAAAAAAAAAGGCAAAACAAAAACAACAAAAAAACCATTTCCTCCGGGCCCAAACCAGCTTGCTTTTTCTTCATTTCTTAGGATGTTTTGCAGTAGATACTTCCATAAAGCATGGAAGAGATATCTAATAYAGAGATTCAATGAGGCTGATCATTCCTAAGGGCTTGGGGGCTATCCTAAGCACTGAGCAAAGGAAGCAGGAGACCTGCATGGATCAACAAGGAGGTCCTGTCAGCTTCGTAGCTTCATCTTCCTGGACTAGCTGCTCTGATGATCTGCTAGAGCACAGAGGAAAATGTTACAGAGCTCAGGATCCTTAAGGATGTCTTTATCATCCAAAAATAGGTGCGCTCTGTTTTCCTCTTGGGAATGCTATTGACATCAAGATTGGAGTGATGCTGAAGCCGACAATCTGCTGTGAGCACCCATGGTGAAATCAAATTTGGTGTCATTCTCGGTCAAGTCCAAAACCTGCAAATGAAGGGAATGCAAGGAGAAAGCCAAGAGTTGTCTGAGGAGCGGCTTGGTGGCCAACTGTTGACTGCATGGTCCAGAGGTGGTAGGTTGTCAGGGTCTGGCCCACAGCAATTTGCAGGTGTGTCGAAGTTTCAGGCGTGCTGGGGAGTTGCTACAGCATTCAGCAAGGCGAGATCTTTCTGATGTAGCCTGAACCTTGCAAGCTGAGTTTCGGTGCTTGAAATACATGTAGACAAATGAAGCTCGTTGCCGCCCACGGCAATGAAAGCCTGTAAATCTAGCAAGACGGAGAAGGCTACCAGCTCTCTGAGACGGGAAACAACCTGCTCTTCAGAAACTACCTCTGGCTGGTGCAGAGTGGCCTCAGGCTCCTAGTTTCATGCCCTGGTTTCTGTGCTTCTTGGATTCTTAGCGTTGGACACCACCTCACCGGTGGAGTGACTCAAATTGGATGTTTGGCTCAAGCCAGCCAGGGTCCAAGGCTGGCAGATGCAACTTTCTGCTCAAGCACCTCACTCCSCTTAAGGCAAATAGTGGCCAAAAGTCAGATTGAGTTGCAGCCACCAGCACCTTCCCTGTGTTGAGCTGTCYCTGTGGCTTCTTGAGARGCAAATCGGTGCCGATGGGATGAACAGGGAGGAATCGCCCCACGAGCTGGTGCCAATCATTCCTGGGAAAAATCCCACTTGGGAAATGAGCGGGGAGCTCCCAAGTTGGATGACGATAACGTGCTGTATCCTGCAGATGGAATAAACAAACACGCCCCGAGAGCTGCTGCAAAGCATTAATTAAAACAGATACTGCGCCGCCTTAGCAGCGGACTTATTAAGAGAAGGGGAAAACGCTGGCTTTAGAATGCTTTGCTTAGAGCCAGCCTGCTCCTGTACCTCATGCTTTGCAATTCCTCCGTCATTTTAATGTTCCTTTATTTTTCCTTCATCTTTATTTTTAAGAAGCTTTTCCATAATGAAGAGCCTAAAGCCCAGGTCAAATGCTTGCCATAGAGATACTCRCATGAAGTTCGGAGCTCCTGACCTTCAGCATCAGCACATTATGTTCTGCAGTCCCTGGCCCAAAGAACTGGGACACTCTGTTGTCTGGGGACAGAGTGGGAAATGGAAGAGGTTACGCTTTTGCTGGAGGTTTTGCTGTTTTATTGGCATGTTTGCTTAATTCCTAGGCCACAGGAGCACTAACATCTGCCAAAGACTCACTCTGAAACAAATAGAAGGGAATTTGGGGTGATTTATATTCTTTTGCAATGGGACAGATTTACCTCTAGAGGGCAACGTATGGTTATCTTTAACGCCTTGAGGTTTCCCTGTGCCTATGAAGGAAGAAAATCCGTGGCACCGCCTGCAGCTTTTGCCTGGACTTCCATTCAAGTAGGTGCACGGCTCCCCAGCCACCTTCACCTTGCAGCTTGTATGTTGGATGCCTTTATTTATTTATTTATTTATTTTGCAGAGTTGATTCCGAGCTGTGAACGGCACCTCCTGGGTAGGAGGGACGTGTCGAGGCAGGCCAGCTTCTCAGCCAGGAAGCTCTCGCAAAGCAAGCGGCAGCGTGTGTGTGCGCGCACAGGTATGAGCACGTGGGCTGCTTAGTTTGTTTCTTGTAATTGCCACTTTCCCCCATGAGAAGCTAACTTGAAATACAGACGTGGTTATGGAAGTCAAAGTAGATGATTAATATTGAAAAAAAAAAGTAATTTTTCCGTCTAGCAGATTTTTTTCCTGTGTGTTTGTGTCTTTTTTTAATAGACAAAGGTTCACATGAAGGTGTAATTCTAGATCTAAGCTTTAAGATTGGTGGAAGAAAAGAAAAATATTTAAGCTTGGAGGTAGAGGAAAAAAATAGAGTCTAAAAGCTTCTGTATCATGACAATTGGTTTCTCTAGCTTGTTTTGCAAGATGCTGCTAATAATGAGTGTCTTTGACACTGTATCTGCACCAGGGGAATGAGGGTGAGTTCTGCCAGTTTTCCAAGTAGCTTCATTCAATGATGTTAGGGAACATACTCACTTGGAGTTATAGGAGAAAATTAACGTTAACTGAACCTGGCGTAAGAGTCTGGCTACAGAAAGGGACATGCCCGTCCTTGACATTTATTCTTTGTGCTCGTTGTGTGGATCAAATCTCCAACTGTTCAGCAGTTCCCATTTGTCTAGTTCTTGCCCCTTGTTTTTGACAGTCTAGAGATTAAATTCTATGATTTCAGTCTGTTCTTGCACACGTTTTTCTACCATTTAGGGTACGAGTAGGTTATGACTAAGGAAAAAAACTACAGCAGTTCCAGTGAAACTGGCTTGGTTTTCCTGCCTGAGATGAGCTCTGATGCAACTTGTGGCTGGTTATGTTGAGATTTGTCACCGGTGAGGCAGGCGGAGGAGAGATTCAACAGGCCACGTAGGCTGCTCTCTGCTGAGASCGCTGTGTCTGTTGGGAAGCCAGTGCAGAGGACGGACCTGCGAAGTGAAGGGCCCCGTCTTGGSCCTCTGATTCCGCAGGTACCAAACCATGCAGCAGCCGAGCGAGCTCTGCTAGAATATCTGCTTTCACATCAGTATGACCAGGGAAATCCCTGATTTTCATGACGTGCAACACGAGTTGCAGAACTCACTTGTGGAAATTAGGATTTCTCCCGAGGTAATATTCTGAGGTGCTCTACTTCAAGCCCTAGGAGGTTATGGAGAAGAAGAGCAACAACCTAACAAAGAAAATTGTCAGCCCTTACAGTTACTCTTGCCACTAAGCTCAAGGTTAGGAGAGTTTTAGGCTCAATGGAGTTTTAGAGAAAATAACTTTAGTCGTTYTGCAAAAAGTCTGCTTGTGCTAAGTAGGCTTTTCCTGTTGCTGCAATCGCAGGACCCTGGTGTGAAATCACAGATTCACGCTTAGTTATATTGCCGATGCAATGAAATCAGATCCTGGGCAGAACTTGRCATCATCCTGGCTAGCAAGGTTTCTCTGGAAGTGATCTCACCGATAAGGAAGGAGACCCAGGCTAAATTTGGGAAGAAGAGAGCAAGAAGCGACTCGTCTTGTGCTGTTGCCTCCTCAGCTGGATCTTAGGCAGATCTAACCTAAGCTTTAGGAGGATGCGCTGCTTGATTTTGCTTTACACCAGTCAAGGGAAAGGCCCATTTGTTTTCCACATCACCTTAAGCTTCCAACAGAGCTTGACTGCTCAACAACGCATTTGAAGACAACCGTGCTCCCCAACACTGAAACCACCCTCTCATCTAGTCCCGTGGTCTCCATGAAGCTGCTCGTGGTTAGCGCAAAATTTTGGCCTTGGTTTCCCTGTGAATGCAGATAGCAGTAAAGGCTGAAGGTGGCCTAGGCTACAACGGAGATAACATCCTCCTTGCCCATCCACTCCCTGGAGCGGGCCGCTGTGAAAGGGAAATTTCCCAATGCCACCATATTTTGGAAGTTGTAGAAGTCCCCTAATGCAAGCCTGGCCTCGAGTTAAAAAGACTTGTGATAGTTGTGGGGTTCTTCGATACTGCCCCCCAAAACGGAGGTGCAGACGTGAGTGAGATCCACTGAGCAGATCCACAGATAAATCATTCTCTGAGAAAAGCTTGTGCATCCAGCTGAACTATGGTGAATATTTAGCCTCGGGTGAGCAGAAGGAGCTGCTTTTAGAAACGCACATCCTGGGCACGCGGACGCAGGAGCTTCAGTGCCTTGTCATTTCCACATCGTCTCAGCACAGTAAATGACATATGTTTTGTGTGAGCAATCAAAAAAGCAATATATAACCCAGCACGAACAGCAGGGTGCCGACACTCCCAAAGGCTTTGCCGTATCCGTAATTATTGCTTCCTCCCTCTAATTGCTGTGGGATGTTCCTCGCAAAGCGGACATTGGGTTTGTCTCCAACTTGGCAACAACTGTTTTTTTGCACAAGAAAATCTCTGTGCACTTTTTAAATGCTAAAGCAGGTGATGGAAATACAGATTGCTCCAAAGATCCTGCAGTTTAGGGGATGTGGAAGGGCTATAGCATTAAATGTGAGAGTAAAATCAGCCCCTCYGTTTCCATCGTGCAGTGCAAATGGGAGGCAAAAGAGGACACTGAAAAAGCTCTTTTTGGTTACGAAAGCACCTGAACTTATTGGAACTTATAACAAGTGTTATGAGGGAGTTCTCTAAAATGCTGTGTGTGTTTTTACAACGCTTAAGTTTTGCTTTTGGCATGAATGATTTTCTTCAGTGCCAATTCCATTCTTGAGGAGAACCAGCAGTGAGCCACGGTTTTCAAAATATCGTTTTAATTATTTCTTTAATTTTTAGTTTAAGGCAGGAACATTGCCAGTCAGGAATTACTGGGCGCATTTGTGATGGCGTTTTTGTTTTTTCTCTTTTCCGTAAGCAGATGGGTGAGGATCCCRAAGCCGCTAAAGGCGGAAGGGGAAAAAGGGTGGAAGGGGATTTTGCGTGTTTAGGTGCAAAAGTTGTGCCCCATGCCAATTTTTTTACTTTCAAAGTGTTGTGGAAAGGCAAAATTCTCAGRTACGAGGTGAGCCAGAGCGTTACTCCTTTTCTTTCCCAGTTTTCAGAGGCGATGTTTTCCTGCCTGCCCTGACACCCTGGGATCCCCTTTTGGAGTGTATGAGCATCCAAAGGCTGCAGAAATCCATTTGCACGGGGGATGTCTGCTTTTAAAATCCGCTTGCCATTGGATTTCCTAGGGTGTTTCCCAGAGCTACTCGGGGCCGCACTCCGAGTTGCAGGAAGCGGCCGGTGCTTTTGGGGGCCGCAGTGGGTGCTGCCCGTGTGGAGGGGACCCTGCCCCTTGTGTGGGCACCGGGAGCTCAACGCTCCCATTCACCAGCTTCTCTTTGGGAGCACTCTGGAAACTGAGGCTTTATCCTGACGTGCATCTGGCTGTACTTGTTTAGGTCTAGGGCTTGTCCTAACCTTCCCGCTGGTAATAATTGGCGACAGTCCCCCCGATTCCAGCCACCCCGCTCCCGCCGGGGCCGGGGCTCGAACCCGGGACCCCACAGAGACGTGAGGCGCTGCTGCGGCGAGGCCCCGCCCCCGGCACGCCCGTCCAATGGGGAGGCGCCGCGGCGGGCGGGGCCGGCGGGCGGGGCCGCGTCATGGCCGCCTGAGGCGCGGCGSGGGGGACGGCGCCCGGCGCGGCGCTGCCCGCTCCCGAGCGGCCCTSRGAGGTGAGACGCGACCCTCCCTCCTTCCCCTTCCCTTCCCTTCCCTGTCCTTCCTGTCCCTCAGCGCGGGACCCGCGGGCGGGAGGCCGCGGCGGTGGCAGCGCCGGGCCGGCCGGCTGAGCCCGTCCCCCCTCCCCAGCTCCGCTCACCGCGAGCGCTGCGGCTCCGCGTTTATRAAAGAGACAAAAACACCGCCCTGCCGCCCGCTGCTTCCTCCACATCCTCCTCCTCGCAACTTGCGCCGCCGTCTGGGACGTGTTTGGCCTCGGCAGCGCGTCGAGGTCGCTCCGCGATGGGGTTTTTTTGAGGAAACGTGTGAGGGAATCAGTTCCCTTGGCTCTTTATCCTCGCACCGCTGATTTAGTGCCTCGTTTTTGAAGTTTCGCGTTCTTCTGTCCGGGCGGGTTCCCGGAACGGGCTGGTTTCCAGGGAGGGCTCCCAGGGTCTCCGCTTGGCAGCGGACCGAGGAGCCGGGGTTTGTGAGAGCGGCCGCGTGCGCCCAAAACAGMCCGTTTTGCCCCAGTTGTGTCCTTCCGTCGTCTCTGTGTCCCTGTTGGATTCCTGCGGCATCCGTTGGTGTGGACTTGGGAATGGTTGGTGTTGTTTCCGCTTGGAAGTAGTGCCTAGCAATCTCTGTGTGTGGTTGCTGCTCGGCCGAGGTGCCGCGGTGGGTCGGGATCTCCCAGTCCGTGGGGCTTGCGGAAATCCTTATGTTTGGGAGGCGCAAGCTTTCCCCTCTGGGCTTTATCTGGGAAATATGGCTTACCTCAGACCAGTGGTTTGCATAAACACCTAATGGGTTAAAAATGGGGCGTCTACGTGGCCCCCTTGGTCACTGACCAAAAGGTGCTGCGAAAATCCAGGTGTCTCGGGCACGAGCTGCCTCCTCACTGCTAACCGAAGGCACTGCCTGGCTGCCGACAAGTGAGTTTATCCCACYAAAGGAAAAGGCAAAACTCCCCGCATCTCCGAGCACCGAAAGCGCCCCGGGAGCTCCGGTTTGGAAGCTCGGCTGCCGGCAGCTGCTCCTGGCTGTCGCGGTGGCGTCGCGCTCGGTCTTGGCATCGGGACCGTGTCCCGGCCTGCCCGCCGCGGGAGGCGCTCGGCGGCGGGCRCTGCTGCTTCCCAACTCCAAAGCCCGGGTGCCAAGGGCCGCTCTGGTAGCCCAGGCTTCTCGGGGATTTTTAACAACCATAAAAGTCCATCGGGAGTCACGTTTGCAATGGAGAGATGCTCACAAAYGCTTTGCCAGATAAAAGGAAATTGCTCGCTGGACAAGTCTGGCTTCCCCATCTCGGTATTTTCTGCCTAGACACTTTTCAGCCCTTCACACTTAGATATAGTCCTTAGATTAGCTTTCACCACGCTGTACCTATATGGAGAATCTGGGCTAAATATGCGCAGCAGTGCGTCACTCACGGAGCTGGGCCCTGCTGAGTTCACTTTTCCTCTTCACACCTGTGCAGAAGGACTTTGCCACCTGCACTTTCCATTTGACACCACTTTCGTTTTTCCTGGCTTGCTGCTCCGGTGAGTAAGAATCTCCGGCAACTTCTGGTCTGGTTTGGAGTTGAGTTGTCACACGTGCAACCAGTGCAAAGCCTCGATGTTATCTCACTGTGGTGACTTCTGAGGCCTGCGAAGGGCTTCTGTAAGCACTGTTTTTATGCTCTCTATATGTGCACAAGGATAAAAACCTAAGAAAAAATCCTCYTCTTAAATGACATTTAAGGTTAACTATGTTTAACTCCACGCAACAGTCTTCCTACCTGCTCGTTGGAAAAGGAGAGAGGAATTTGTTCCTGATTTACCTTTCTTTTGTAAAGAGAATGCTCTTCTAGACAAAGCCTTTGATTTATTACAAAGCAAACCTCTAACCATGCATTGGGTGGTATTTTTTTTTTTTTTTTTTTAAAATGCGGTGGTTGCATCCAGTTCTCCAAGGATGAGTTTCCACATACTTTGGGTTGTTCGGACATGGCCTGGAATTCAGGAAACGCCACCAAGAGCGTGGGGGATCCTCTGAGTTTCGGTGCGAAGCGGGGCTTTGGGAACAACGTCGTGTTTTGCGAGATGTCGTTCGGTTCCCCCCCGGCTCAGTTGGTGCTGTGCACCCAACCGTTGTGGTTTCGGGTGCGACGGGACCGGCTGTGCAAAGCTGCCGTGTTGGCTCGCGAAGASAGGCCCTAATTGCTAAAGCCGCCCTTTGAAGCTGCTGTTTGCAGCACGATCCGGAGCAGGTGAAAGGTGGGGTGTTATTCTCGGGGACAGCCCTAGGTTTGGGAAGCATCAAGGGGCTTGTTCCCCCTTTCTGTGGCCCTTTCCTCCTGTGTCCTCAAGCGCCTGAGCTGGCCTAGAGCACAAACAGTAACTTTGATCCCCCCACTCCCGTGTCAAATTAAACATTTGCTCGACTTGCAGCAACCGCAGCCAAGCCAGGGAAGCGGGAGCGCCGCGCGGGGCATTGAACTGCGGCGCTTTTCTGCCATCGGGATTTTTGCAGAGTGACTTCATCCGGGTACTGTTCAGGTTGGCTGCTATCGGCTCCAGAAATCTCCTTTGCGAGGGCTCCGACCTGCCAGCCTGGGCTGGAAAAGTTACAGCTTCGCATGAGTCATCGTCCTGAGGGATGAAGAAAGTGCCTCCTGTCTTATCTCAGGGAGTGCTCTGCCTCCATGGCAGAGTGGCTGAGCAGTGAGGTACCATCTTTGAGTATCCTGTTTCCTAACTGTGTTTTGGAGTCGTTATTATTCACTTCTGCCACTTATATTTCTTCGCAGTGGCTGTATTTTCCCAGGTTTGATCAGATTTTACTGGCTTTGACAGTGGGATGAAGAACATGAAAGGACTTAATGTGTAACTAGGCTTCTTGGAATAGAGTTTTTTTTTCTTTTTAATTGGCTGGTGGTGGGAAAACTGTATTTCAGACTGTAATTCTCTATTCTAGGTTTGTTTTCAGCTTTGCTCACTGCTGAAAAATGGGCGAGATAGAAGGAACGTACCGAGTACTGCAGACTCCTGGCTCCCGTTTGGGTGTGCAGAAAAACACCGGAGTGAGTACCCTGGAGCCAGGGCAGAATCTCTCCACTGCCATGGCATCCTCCCCGGCCAAAACGCACGAGAGGGATCTGCAGATCAAAATAAAGATGTTGGACAACACGGTGGAAGTGCTTGACATTGAAGTAAGAGAACTTTAAACTTCAAGTACCCTTAACTTGAGATAATGTAAAGTTTGCAGAATGTGCTACCATGCACAGCTGGGAAATACTGAGGCAATATCTGGAAAAAAAAGCCCTTGTAGGGATCTGACCTACTTACGAGTAGGTAAATGAGTAGCTCTGCTTGTGTTTTTAAAAAATCTTTTATAAGCAGCAGATGGTTGTGTTTTTTYTTAAAGATGTTTATTTGAATACAGGCTCATACAGTATCCATTTTTTGCTGTTGGTTGTGGTGCCGTGTACCAGGTATCTTCAAACTGTTCTTGCTTCCTGAGCCATGTGTGGCTCTTGGGGGTTGGAAACTGGGGAAAAAAGAGCTTTATGCTTTTGTATTATTATCATCCTCAGTGGTTCTAGTGGTTTGTAACCAAGGTTTCTTGCAAGCAGATATTTAATGCTATCCCCTAATTAGGCCCCAGTGCTGTACCTCTCTTTTTGTTGTTTGCTTGTCTTTGCTGTTACTACAAGACGTTTCTGGTAGTTAAAACTCTCTTGGATTTCTCCGAAGAAAAGAAAAAACCATCCCAGTTTGGACAAGTAGTGTGTCGAGATGGTTGTTATCCTGGTGTTGTTYTTTGTAGCTTTTCTTGTCCTTAGGTTGTAAGGAATAAGAATGTCTGTCGAGCATTTAACACAAAAAGGTCCCTAATTAGCAATTATAGCATTAAAGAGTCCTAGTAATAGATTATCTGCATCATTTGTTTTTGTGTAAATAATGTAGTAGGTGATAGCAATAGCMTAGCAAAAGCCTTGGCCATTTTAACCCTATGGGATAAGCTATTCAGTATAGCTGAAATGCACAGGTTTTTGTCCACTCGCTGCTCTACTGACACATGCAATCCTTACTGTTGAAGGTTTTCTTTATAATCATGAATTTCCTTATAAGAAGGAGCTGTCCTTTAAAGTATGCTGGGGCAGCAAGTGAGGGGAGTCTTTTGAATTTTATTTCTTGGGTGTATTCTACGACAGAAAAATTGAAAATTGAAGGTTTGTTCTTTCTTCTTTTCCTCCTCAAATGGAAAGCAAATGAAACACAGACATCCAAAACCAGATTGGATAGTGATTCTTTTAATGAGACTCTTTCTTCTCCCTTTTTACAGCCAGCTTATTTAGTTAGCTTAAATCTTGGCCATGCCATATCAAGGGGCATCTATGCTCGTCTTTCCAAATTAAGCCTACTGAAAGAGTTTAAAATTTAAGTTAATTCAGACTTTGGACACAAGTCAAAAAGAGGTTTCTACACTAGAAATTCTCAGTCCTTTTAGGAGATTGGGTTTGGRGGCTTTTAGTCAGCCTAAGAATATGCAGATTTAAGCAGAAGTGTCTGGGATTGTCAAAATGAGCACTTTAATTTTACCCAAAAATATTACAACAGTCTGGGGTAGATAGTGAAAGACAGTAGAATCTCTTGCTTCAAAGGGCAATTTAGGATATGGAAAGTTTTTTGCTTGCTGAAAACCTTTGCATTGATTTACCAGAGAGTTACCAACAGAGTGTGTTATGGTGATAGATGTATGGGCTGTCAGAGGTATAGAATATGACAGATATGTCTGTGTTAGTGGAAACAACTGGTTTTTTTTATATGGTGTAGCTGGAAAAAAAGTGTTATGGAGAGTAGATGAGACTGATAATATYTTAAAATAGAGTTTGTGAAATAGGTCTATACCTTTAGTCAAAGATGTTTTATGTATATGCACATACGTATACACACACATATTTCATATATATTCACCTGTCACATCCTCTGGATGTTTCCTGTAATATGTTTCATTTATTTTGAGTCTTTTACTGCCCACATTGCATCAGTTTATAACATATGGAACAGAACTGAAGCCTTGCTGTGATATTTAATCTTTAGTCTATAGATCGCACTGTACTCAGGAAGTATATGTATTTCTATAGAACTCTGAACAGCTGTGGTCAAACTGTAGCACGATTCTTGATGTTCACCAAAGGCAAGTGGTCGGCCTCATCCCTTCAAGGAGAAGGATTAGGCTAGAACTCTCTGTTTTATTCTCTGTCATGATGTTTTGCACAAGTAGTCTGTTTTGATGTGTTTGTTTAATGTTTTTTGTTTGTTTTCAATATACCACAATAATTTGCTTCTCAGCAAAATGCAAGTGTTAGTGTTGGGCATGTGTCAGTTTGTTCTTAGCTTTATTTTGGTTACTGTTTGCCTTAGACTTCTACCAGCTGTAGAAGTCTACAGCTGTTCCCTGGGCTGGATATTCAGTTTTGGCCTGTAGTCTTGTAATGCTCTGAAGTTAAATATTGGATAAGACTTGGACCCCAGGCAGGTGTTTTTGTGCTATACATCATGAAGCTTTGCCTTAGGAAATTTATTTTCTTTTGTTTCTTCTCCTGCTTTTTGGCATCTTTGCTGTGCCKGCTCTTTCCATACCCAGTACTGGGAAACAATTGTCTTTGCAGTCTGAGAACAGCATAGGGCCGTAAGATTTCACGTTTTTCCCTGATTTTTCTTATTAACTATTGACCACTCAGTGCTCGTGACTACTTTTGAGTTGACTCATGTGCCTTAAAGTTTGACTGTTATTATATTAATAAAAAATGAAAGCACCTTGTTCTATATTAAGTTGAAAACACTCGCTGTTTATTCTGCCCAACAGTCATACAATTTTTGCTAGTCACTCATGTAATGCTTTCCTGGTTTATTTAAACATATAAATTGCATTATTAAAAATGCAAAATTCCTTTTTTTTTCTCTCCTCTGAAGGCCACATTTGGTTATAGTGTTATCTGCAGTTCTTTTTCACCCTTAATTTGAAAGAGGTCCTGAAAATTGCTGCTTTTCTAATGTTCGTTGTTCGGGGCTGCTGCCCGTGACTCATTGTGCTCCGAGGTCTGAAAACCGGGAAGTGCATTAGGCCATCAGCTGTTTTTATGGAGCCGTGGAGGAAGCAATCGGAGCGCTGGAACGCACCCTGGGACTTCCTGTGGTTGGAAAAGGAGGTTTGCAGCCTCGCTGCTCATCGGGTGCGCAGCCAGTAGTGATTTTTCACCCTATTCTCAGCCTTTTGGCTTCTCCCAGTGCCCAGAGAGGCAGCGCTCYGACAAGAATCTGCTTTGGTGCCTTCCCCTTTTTGCTCTGTGCTCCCACATTCACACTCTGATTTCATAAAGACTTTTTTTTCCCCCTCCTGGTGCTGGAGAAGCATTAACAGCTTAAATATGTGGGCAGTGGGAGGCCAGACTGCTGCTGAATCCTATTAGCTCTGTGCTAAACGAATCTAAACGCTGCCTTGGCGAGTGCCATGTTTTTCTTYTCTGCCTGGGAAGAAATAGTCAAAATTCCAGCAGGAATCGCAGCCAGATGTTTGCCGTTGCGCCGTTTGGACTCTCCTAAATATGGCAAATAAGCTGCTTTGGAGCTTATTTCTGCCTGACCTCAGAAGCCAAAGTTAAAACTTCACATTTCCAATGGTGAATTACTATTACAGGGTGCAGCAGGAAAGTAATTGGAGCTTTGCAGTTTCCTCCTGCTATATATTTCTCCCTAAAGCCTGTTATTTTGTGTTTGGGACTTGAGATTTTCAATGCTAGGCAGGAATGCCGTGTTGGGTGGGGAAAGGTGAATCTGCAGCCATTTTATTGTGAGACCTTGGGGCTTTTTTAAGGGAAGATGTGAGCTTAATTGGTAATATATAAACCATGCATGGCTGTACGCTTCTCTAGGCATTAATTGTCATTTTAGGTAGGAAGGAAAATTGAGTTATAAACCAACAAAGGACAGAAATCAAGGTCTGAATGTTCCTGTAAAAAAAAAGTCTATTAAAACTTTATATGCACACGACATAAAACACAGAAGCCATTTAGTAAAGTAAAATTCTTGGCACTTAATCCTTTTCAGGCATCTTGCTAATACACTATCTAATTCAGTGGATGTTATTTAAAAATGGAAAATCTGTAAGGAAAAAAACTGTTGCCTGTTGCTCTTTTACCAACTCCAGTAACGTAACATACTTGGTAATAAAGCAGGGAGGTGATGGTAGCATTTGGTCCTGTCTCCTGGAGATCGCAAATGTTTTATTTTTCATAAGCTACTGATAAAAAATGGTGGAAATTGGCTGTTTTAAAACGCTTTTGCAAGAGACGTGCTACCTGTCTGTCTAGAATGGAGTAAGAAGACTATTTAAAAAAAACAAACCCTATGCTGTGGTGATAGGCAGCAGGAGCTGAAGCATTTTGAGTGTGGCTTCGTGGCCGCTCAGGCAAGTGGAGTGAGCCCCAAATGCTTTGCAAAGGGACCTGGTGCGTGGGAAGAAGCTCCTTTTTCACATGCACTTTCCCCCCTCTGAGATTCAGTCTTCTGTATCGGATGCCTCTGGCATCTCGACAGGTCGAGACTCCCCGTTGGAGCCGTCCRACATGCGGCTTAGCTGGAATCCCCAAGGATTAAGGTCACGGTCCCACGTARCCTCCTTGCCAGGCACACTGGGGCAGCCAGCACAAAGCCAGAGGTGCTGGAACCTCCTGCTCCAAATGGGAAAGTTAGCAGAGCTCCCGTCTTATCTAATCTGCTCCAGAGGTATTTATTAACTCACTGCTGCGGTGGCCAAGTGCYGCTCAAAGTGCGCTTTAGGCCGGGGAGACCAACTTTGGTTTTCTCCAGAAGAACCTTGCAGGGAAAAGGAATTCTGTGGGATATATCTATTACTATTAAATATTGTAGTGTTTATTTGAAAGTTCCTGTTGTCTCTGGTTATCCCTCTGCCTCCTGAGGCCTGTGTGTATTAGCATGGTCAAACCTAAACCTCGGTGTCCCGATATTTGAGCCTATCACACCCGAGGCTRTTCTGGCTTTAGGCAATGGCACCGCGGCTGCAAAACAAAATCTGGGGCCTTGTAATCCCTCATCATTAACGCCCAGGTCAAACCATGATAATGGGGGCATAGAGGGTCCTTTTAAGACTTGAATTAGTGCTTGTGTTTACTGTGAACACCCT